ATCATGCAGTAAATACTACTAATACTACTACCAATACTAACACTAATACTACTAATACTAATACTACGACGACTACAAATTAAAAGCTACTACTAATACTGCTTCTGGTAACAATAATAATAATTATACCATGATTAATATGCAGACCTTGAAATGGCTCTCTTGCATTTCACATACACTGTCGTCAGGCTCGGTGCCTTTGGCTTGGTACCTCCAGACCTCTTAAAGCACATCAGGACTGTGACCGGGTTATCCACTGGGAGCACAGCCCTTCCGACACTCGGGCAAATCAGAAGGTTGCAGTGTTTGGGAATCTTCATATTCTCTGAAACGTTTTTGGTGGGTAGACAAGGTAGCGATTTCTGGGAGAATTCCTATGCACTTTCTGGGCTGCGTGTAATGGAGGCAAGAGATGACGATTACCTTAAACAGCCTTATTGTGCCACGGTCGACCGAACTATATATCGTTGTGGCATTCGTTTATTTAAATCTGTAGACTATAACAGTAATAAGGGGAATTTACATCGTTTGATCCATGAATGCAAACCGACATCGCTACATGAACATCACACGTAGAATTGATATATAATAAAGCCTGGATAGATGATTTCCTATCTGGATGTATGAGTTCCTTCAGATGGTAATCAAGATGGAGTTTTATAGGTCACTTATGAGTCCATGATCATCACTGAACTTAGTAAGTCTAGAGGTCAACAGTAAAACCTGCATGAAGCACACGCTAAGGTGATTCCGCTGTATGACAACTGGTCTCTAGGGTCACTCATCGACGACTTGGGAATTGGATTTATAATTCCTTTGTGTTAGGTATCAGGAGCTACAGAGGTTAAAGAGTTTATGCCAAAATACAAGAACATTTTCATTTTTAAGAACTGGAATATGATCTATTCCTGGTGCTTTTCCATTCTTGGCTTGCTGCATTGCTGTGGCTATCTCCTGAGGGGGGAGGAGGGGGATTTGTCGGTCTTGGTTTGGGCAGGGGTAACCCCTACTGGACGTACTCCACTGCACGTGGTCCACGGTAATCTGACCGGACAGCGTTATCGGGACGAGATTCTGGCTCCTATAGCAGTACCATTCCTGCTTGCTGGGCATGGCTTATATGGTCGACGCTCTTTACTGCAAGACGACAACGCTAAGCCTCATGGGGCCAGGATTATCACGGAATTCCTTAGGCAGGGTGTAGAGCGGATGGAGTGGCCAGCATGCTCGCCAGACCTCAACCCAATTGAGCATGGCTGGGATGAACTCGACGTGTTCACACGGGGCCGACACGTCACCCAGCACGTCAGGTCTCCAATGACTCCGCAAAGCTCTAGTAGAGGAATGGATTGCGATTCCGCAAGCTTTTTTTTATGACCTTGATAAGGAGCATGAGCACAAGGTGCACCTGTGTCTTGGACGCACAAGGAGGGTACACAGGATATTAAATGACCGTGTGCTTCATGTTTGTCATTTTCATTTTGGGGGGTTGATCTACATTTATGCAACTGATGTTTGCTAGTGCTGTTTGAACTTTTGTCTGTATGTCACGATGTCACGTTTGTCAACATATCAAACATTATGATGACACTCTTAGTTCTATTATTTCTGAGAAACCTTTCAGTACATGTACTGTATATCATTTTAGCCCTTTATTATCAGTGTGACCCTTTACGATAGTGGCCACTTGTCTGTGATATTTCCAGTTTTCAATAACACATACCGTCACTGCACTGGTTACCAGCAAGGGTAGAATACAAGATGCTTAGCATGACTTACATATGTCTTAACAATGCAGCTCCATCCTATCTCTCTAGTCTTGTCAGAGTATACGTTCCAACCAGGACTCTGAGATCAGCCAATCAGCCGCTGCTCATCGTCCCAAATGCACCTCTGAAGACATGCGGACACAGACGTTTTTCCTACTTGTCAGTTATTCTCTTGAACAATCTCCAGTCTAAGTTTAAAACGTTCCTGTTCAAGAAGCACTATGACATCTAAATGAACTCCTGTTGTAGATACGTATATATGTCGGGGAAGGTGGGGTAGCCTAATGGTTAAAGCGTTGGCTTGTCACGCCGAAGACCAGGGTTCGATTCCCCACATGGGCACAATGTGTGAAGCCCATTTCCCCCGCCGTGATATAGCTGGAATATTGCTAAAAACGGCGTAAAACCATACTTACTCACTCACGTATATATGTCAGCGCCATGAGCAACCACTTGATGATTGGATTAGGGCACCATACAAATGGATTTATTAATAATACATATTATTCTAAAATATTTGTGAAACTTTGTCCGTTTCCTCCATGTTTATTCCATTATTTTCCCGTCGAGTGGTAACTAACTGGATATCGGTTGCAAAATTCTCTCATTAGTTTGTCCCAGGTGGTGTAAGCTTTTATGTCAAAACGAACACATGACACATCTTTACGAGACATACATTATGCAAATGAAGTCAAGAAACAGCTTTACCAGGCATGAAATATGCATAGCGAAGACAACATGAGGGAAGGGCTTCATAACAAATGAAGGCCTGTGTCAAATAGAAAACCAGGCACATATTGATTATCAGTTATTTTTGTACTATGTACATGGCATTGTACTGATATGTGTGTGTGCATGTGTGTGTGTAAAGTGTAGTAAGCACGTGGATATTGATCCATGTATAGTTTCTGCTTCGTGTGGCATATAGATCAAAGTGAAACGGGACTGTGAAACAACAGAATCGCTTTTGCCACTATGCCACAGCTGTAATTCCCTTCAGGACTCAGTCGGTGTCCTCAACAAGAGGTTGGCGTTTTTGTGAAGATGAACTTTGACGACGTGTTGAGACAGCTGGGGGAGTTTGGCCCGTACCAGAAATGGCTATATATACTTCTGTGTCTACCATCAATACCACAGTCTCTCCAGCTGATACAGGCGGTTGTCTTTTTGTTTGCGGTCCCTGAACATAGGTATGCATATTTAGTAAACCGTTTTATACTTTAAGCATTGCTATGATTGCGAGTAAGTAATCTGTATATCCCTATGGGTGTAACTGTAAGAATATGAGTAATGGAATGGTTTCCATGTTTTTCATATACCAAATGCTGTTATGTAATTATATCCGTGTGTATGAAGTGAGCGATCAAGGATCTTCCTATTATCTGAAAGAAATTATCCATTAAATGTGGATACATATCCTATACAAATTTTGCCACATGGACATAGTTGAAACTTTATTGAGTTATTATGCTTTTGTAATCACTTTACATATAGCAAAGCTCTTTGATCTGCTTGTATTTGATCTCTTGTTCAACCAAGGTCATGTAAATATTTAAAAATATCATGTTTCAACGTTGTATCATAAGCTTGTGCAGGTCGGAAAATATTGATACGGCATGTTGGTTATTTACAATGGAATTTTTAACGAATGTTTCCCTGTGAACCAGTTGCTCAATATTTCATCTACTTTTGCGAACACCAAATTGAATGTTCGTGATGAACTATTGGTTTCTAAAACACATACTAGTAGATTATTAATTTTACCATGTGTTCCATGGTCTTACAAACGCAGCTCGTTAATGAAATAGGACTATAGTCAGCTGGATCTGTATTATCCCGGCCAGGCTTAGGTATGGGGACAAGAATGGCATTATGCCACGAAGGGGGAATATATCCAGTTGTCCAAATATCATCAAAAATACTTAAAAGTGTTTCAAGACATGAGTTGGGTAAATGCTTTAGAAGCTGATAGTTGATATTATCAGCTCCTGTTTCGGTATCATGGGCTTGTGCTAAAGCAGTATCAAGATCATGTAGCTGTTGTTGATACCTGTTCAGTGTCTCACTTCTTTTGTATTATAATTGTTTCTTATGAGAGTGTGTTTTGTAATTTGTAATTTGTAATATCATATTAATTGATGTTCGATGGCAATTGTGTTTTTAGCGGTACGCCTTTTTGATGGCACTTTAGAGTTGCCTCCCTTGGCAATATTGTTTATTTACGGCTTTCATCATGCCGTGTGTTCCACATGATGCGATAACATTCTGAGTGGATAATGATGCTGTCTAGCTTTGCTATAATGCTCGAGAACTGTGTAAGAGCTATTTAAGGGCTGGTTGTTGCGTTGTGCGACGGGATTTATCACATGACTGGAGTTACACATAAGCTGATATACATCTGCCTACCGTCGTCAAGTCTGTCTGTCAACATTTCAAGACCGTGCTTGACTATTCAACTACTGTCAGTGTAAACAACCTTTAATCAGTATATCTGTTCTCACCATGAATGTCAAGACTCGGGTGAGTTAATATTTTATATTTGTGACCAAATATATTATATTTGTGACTCAATTGCAATTTACTAGATATCTGTATTGTCATTCATTGTAGCTTGCTCATTGTTTGCTCAATATATTATGGAATATTTAAGACTTGTCTGTGTTCTATTTTGCTGGTTCAAAGGAGACTCTTAAACCTTTTGTCACGGCAAATTTATTAACCGTAACATCTTATAACGGGCTTGTAATCAGTGCATGGTATAAGAAGTCATCAATTTCGCGTGTCCTACCTTAGAATAAGCCATAAGCCATTCAAACATGACTGGGTAACCAAAAGAAGATGTCATATTCGCCAGTAGCATGATCATTCTAAAATTCAATCTTTTATTTTAAGTAGATGTTTACATGACATATTTTTAATATCCCGTAGACTTGAAATATTGTTTATTGGTGAGGTGAGGTGAAATGGGGTTTAACGTCGTACTTAACATTATTTTGCTCATATGACGACAGGCATAAGTGTGTATGTGTGGCTGCTTGTACTAGCCTAGACATAAGTTGGTTATTGTGCTAGCTCACTGAGATACTATGCCGCAGTTAAGCATGAATACCCCACTCAGACACATTATACTGACTCCGATCCGACCGAACAGTAACCATTAATGCCGAGCGCCAGGCAGGGACTAACAAGTACCATATTTTAACGTCTTTTCGAATGACGCGGCCGGGGATCGAACCCGCAACCTTCCGCTCTCTGGGCGGACTCTGTTACCAGTACACCATGGAGGCGGTCCTGTCTATTGGTACATTTAAGAGCTCTTATCTACTGTTTACTTATGCTGTTGAAAAGGAACTGTTATCTGGTAATCTAAAAGCTTTTGTCTCAGCATACTTGGATCCACCTGTGAATATAGATTTGCATGTATTATATTTACTTCTTAACTGATTTGTGTATTGTGTGCACTGGAACTTATTTGTTTTGATTGCTTAAATGTGGTCAGTGTTCGGACTGCCTGTGGTGTTATCAATTATGAAGATGAGTTGAGAGCTAGTGAAAAGGAGATATGTTCAACATCAGCAGCAGAAAAGTAAGGTTTAGTTCTTCCATACCGTGACTTAAACCAGCCATGAATTGCTGATACTCAATAACGTCAATAACGTCAAAACAACTTGAATATCACATATATATATTTAGCATGCAAGTTTAATTTTTGTCACTATTCAAGACAAAACAAGGTACAAGATCATCAGCAACTGAAGGTAGATAACAATACTAGACACCATGGGGATTTACAGTACTTTTGCTACCTGCAGGCAGCCAGGCCAAACATTGTCACACTTTGAAATTGTAGGCACCATATTTTCTACCCTTCACCAATTAGAAGTTGACCACCATGAATGTCTGTTATGACCAAAGTTGATCATACGAAGATAAGATGCACAGTAAACAGTAAGAAATGGATTTCATGTTATACTACAGAAACAACTGCTTTGTGTATTTGACTCTATGTTCGCCATGGAAACAAACAAATTGAGTTTAAGAGTGTATGAGTGAGTGAGTATGGTTTTACGCCGCTTTTAGCAATATTCCAGCAATATCACGGCGGGGGACACCAGAAATGGGCTTCACACATTGTACCCATGTGGGGAATGGCACCCTGGTCTTCATCGTGACGTGCGAACGCTTTAACCACTAGGCTACCCCAACCGTCGCCTGTAATATTGAACCATGGCAGGGTTCTCCATTGGTAAAAAGAAACGGACTGATTAATGTAAAGATTTATTACAGAACACGTGTAAAGCATACTGAAAATAGAAATTCTTTCCATAAGAAAGGTTGAGGCTCTATATATCTAATTCACATTTGTGTACATGTAAAAGGATTTGATTTGTTACATGTTAATGTTTACAGGCGAGCGAACACTTTAACCACTAGTATCCGCCCCTTATTTTTCAATATCAGGTGCGCTATTCCAGGATTTTTGGTAATGACACCACATACGATATTCAGAACAACGTTCATGAACAACTCGTAAATCGGTCCATCCCAATGGTCTCTGGTTACTATGGCGATGAGAAGTATTCCCACTGCCAACTGTATCAGGAAACCAATATCTCCAATATTTGGTCGGTTTCACGAAATATCACAGAGCCTTGTAATGCCTGGGTGTACGATCAATCACAGTTCATATCCACGATTTCAGAGAGGGTGAGTTGTAAACTGCAAAGCAAATATCCTGATGATTTTATTAAATTATCATTCCATTGTAATTAAAACCGTGAAGATCGGTGGTAGAATTTGTCTTCAGCAACCCATGCTTGTCGTATGAGGAGACGGGATCGGGTGGTCAGGTTTGCTGACTTGGTTAAAACATGTCATTGTATCACCAGTAGCGTAGATAGATGCTCATCGTGTGTGTCACTGAATTATCAAGTACAGACACCATTATTTACATACCGCAATCATATAGCTTAAATATAATAACAAACTTTGAAATTTCCAGCAACAAAACATTTTATGACCTTATCTTAAACAATGAAACCACCTATAACTGGACAGGTGTTTACGCAGTGTCTTCGTCATAGGTGACTGATGAAGACTATTTCGCCCCAACGTGTCAGCAGGTGTGTGTGTGTCTGTCCAGACTCACTCACATGTTTTTGAGTACATCACGGGTGGGCTGACAGTAATGTTACTAATCAAGAGACTGTTTCATCAATGTGTATGACCGATTTAACTATATTTGTTTACAGATGGATTTTGTCTGCGAGAAAAAGTCCTACGTGACCCATGCCAAGATGCTCAGTATGTTTGGACATTTGGTTGGCAGTCTCATCAACGGGCCTTTGTCAGACATGTGAGTGACTTACTTACATAATCTTCATTAGTGATACTATAGCAGCTTTCTGCCATTTCGTAACATCACACTTATCTGTAACATATTCAGGGTGACAGTGGATGCACTCGATCATGCCATTGTATCGTGCCGTTAAACTATATGAATCTAAAGACATAGGGAATGCTACACTGCAACGCCTCTGCGTTCCATTTCATCGTAAGTGTCGTGGCACCGTCATACACTGGTGCCAAAGACATGGTCGGAGACAAATCAATCAGAAAATAGTGTTGTAAAAATGTACCAGAGACACTATGACCATGTGAAATCCTGTGATCAAAATATCTTTTCACACATGTACACCCTATAAATGTTGTCACACATTCGTACGCCAGTTCTTTCTATCCTCGTGCTACAGGTTTGAATCCGATTGTCAAAGCATGTATGACCATTACACAAAACCACAATGTAATTTGTAGTCGGTTTGATTAAAATTGCGGTGTAAATCCAGCTAGGGTCCATGCAGGTAGCCAAAGTACTGTAAGCCCCAATGGTCCTTAGCATGGTGATCAGCCTTCAGTTGCTGGCGATCTTTAGCCAATTTTTACATTGTATTGTCCAAAAATAGTTTTCTACTTTTAAAGATATGTGCTAGCTAGTTTTTGTGATAATCTAGTAATTTTGCTGCTCTTCGTTGACAGGGTTTAACGTATTATATGTTTGTGTTATGAATTTAGAACTAGTTTTAGTCACGATATGGCTGAAATATTGCCGATGTGACTTTAAATTTTAACTCATTCACTCACTGATTAACATTGCGGTATAAATCCCATACATTCGCTGCACAGTTTAAATCTGTTTGACCTTTGCTATATACAATTCTACCATAAAACACCAAATTTCATCAGAAATCATCCCGCCAGTTTAGTGAGTGAGATATCGGCAATATCTCAGCCATATCGTGACGAAAACAATTTATACAATAAAGATGAAAACAATTTGAAGAGTAAAACCTGTCGACGATGGACAGGAAAAATACTAGAGTATCACAGGTATGAACATAAAACTAGCATGTAAAACTAAAACATTGTATTTAAAGAAGACAATACAATATGAAACACGGGCTATAGATCGCCAACAACTAAAGGTAGCCGCCCAAATGTGTTTATGAGGCTCGATTCAATATGGGTGCAACAGCAGCAATACCTATTTATGTATGAGTCATTTCTTAGAAACGTTTATGATCGTGGGTGCAAGCCATATATGGTGGGAATCCACATAATCACGTGTTCTTGAATGTTTAAACTGTATTTGTCATAACTGTCAGTATTTATGCAGTGGAAGGACAATGGCGTTGTGAAACTGAAATGTCATCGGTTTTACCAATAAATTGTGACAAGAGGTTCAAACTCAATGTCAACTTATATAACGGCTAACCTTATGAACCAGCCAGCAATATAAACAACATTTGTTTTATTAAGATACTTGCTTGTATATGTTTCTGTTGGAAGCAATTAGTTTTCAAGAATATATAAGAAGGAGACCTTGAATCGGACTTAATTTAGTAGGTAGAAATATGGAAAAAAAGCGCTCTCCAGCTAACTACATGATGCTGTTAATTTGTTGCTCTTGTCCTGTTCAGATTAAGTCCCTGTTTCTTTAGTTCTTTGATTGTAGGACAATAGATCGAATCCTTCCATCCATCCATCCATCCATCCATTCATTCATTCATTCATTCATTCTTCTGCAGGTTTGGAAGACGACCGGTTATAATCTCTAACATGTTTATGTTGGTGCTTCTCAGCATCTGTCTGGTGTGGTCCAACACGGCCCCGGTTGTCCTTTTCCTTGTTTTCGCAATCAACGCCTGTTGCATTGGCCAGTATCTCGTGTGCTTCGTATTTGGTATGTCAATGAGCTGATTTAATTATCCTTTAAATCTGTGTTCTTTTAGGAGTAACAGTATTGATTTTTCCGTCACAAGGGATCAATATTTCAAGCCATTATCTCTGAAGGATATTGCTAATAATGCCAAGTGTTCATTTATTTATTATTTTTTTAAACCGAAATATAGTTTATCATAAATATTCATTCCTGTGTCTTGTATACATTAAACTGCCTTTTAAAATTTGTAGAATACATTTGTTAATTGTAATTGGTTGTTGCTGTAGCCTTGAAGGGGGTTGAAGTAGCCGAAGAGGGGGTATCTATCTAAGACCACATCTTACAAATTATATACATATTTCGACTATGATTTTAATCATAGAATATTGTTCTTTTAATTTGGCCAAAGTTGTCAATAATCGCAATAATCAATGGTGCAAATGTTTGAACGCTGGCAAATAGCTCTAAACTTACCTTAAACGGGTAATCTACACAATTATGCGATTACAACATAATGTGTATGTTGTCGCAGGCATGGAGATAGTCGGCCGCTCCAAGCGTATGTGGGCAGGCGTGGCCATGAACCTCTTCTGGAGCGCGGGGAACATGGTGTCAGCTCTTACAGCCTATCTCTTCCGGGACTGGAAGACTCGACAGCTGATTGTCAGCATCCCGGCAGTTGTCTTTGCTTATTTGTAGTAAGTACTGGACTTTGATGTAGTTTATTTGTATATATGACATTCATTGTAGTTATCACGTGAGTGTGTTTTTGTAAAGTAAATATCCTGCATATAAATATCATATTTTCTTAACATTACCTGAACATTGCACGTTTTCAAGGAATGTCGTCAAGATTATATATTACGTCAGAAGGGCAGCTGAGTAGTTTCTCCAGATTCACAAATGTAAATTTTGAAACTATTGCCGATGGACAAGGGCACGGCCATGTTTGTGAATAATGAAAGAAGTATTTCATGAGGCTTCCTTACTTTCATCTTTATTCGTATATGACCCCAACTGTGCTATCACAATACCAAAAGTGTACTCTAATTATAGAACTTGCTATGAAATCGACCCTTAAACTTTCCAATGTCCGTTTAATCCACCAGTTTCTGATTAACGTACATTGGGATAACACACGCATTGACCCATTTCAAATAACAATTTTAAGGTTCATTCGTACAATGAACTATTTATACAACACGCATTTCCTTACGTCTTGAACATTCTTCTCTATGCTGGGAAACCATTTAAAGAATGAGAATCATGTTCATATCTGTTCATCACAGTTTTATCCCAGAATCTCCGAGATGGCTTCTGAAACATGGCAGAAGTGAGGAAGCGAAAGTGATTGTTGCAAATATTGCGAAGAAGAACAAAGTACAAATAGATACAAATATTCTCAATGAGGTTGATGTCGAAAAGGAAGAGGCAAAACAAGAACCATTCTGGAAACTTTTGAAGTCTTCTGTGATGATGCGTCGAATGACCATCATCTGCTATAACTGGTACGAGTTCAATCCCATTATGTATTTTAGTTTGACCGTAAGTTTGCCTTTGAAGGAAAGAAAACTAGTTTTTAAAGAATAGTAACACATTAGTCTGTGGAAGTCAGTTACATCTGCAAGCAAAATAACACGTGATTCGTTAGTACCTAAATGAGTAAGATTGGTTTCATAGCAATATTCCAGCAATATCATAGCGAGGGAGACTAGAATTGAGCTTCACACAAACGTAATAAACCACAATAAGTTGGGAGTAATTATAGTTAGTCTAGGACTACCACACAACGTCTGAATTCTGAATTTCACCACCAAAACAGATGAAATGAAAAATAATTATTTTTTACCATAGGCTATTCTGATTTCTCTGTTGAAAGGCCACAACAGCGAAGAAAAAATAATTGTGATTCTTTTCTTAGGTTTGCAGTTGGAATGGGTTTCTTCGGCCTCAGCATGAACGTCACTAACCTATCTGGTAACATCTACCTCAACTTCTTCTTGTTCATCGTCGCAGAGGCTCTTGCATACATCTCCTGTTTTTTCCTAATGGATCATGTTGGTCGCAAGGTGCTCCTGTGTATATCTCTGTCACTAACAGGGACAGCGTGCATTCTTCCGTTGATTCCAGTACTAGTTGCAGATACACGTACGTAACATGTATTGCTACTGAAAAATCCAGGTGTGGTTATATATGTATAGGTCCATACACAACAACATGTAAGGTGTCACTTTTATGACTTCACATATGTGCTTATAAATGAGAATATTGATACTAAATATGAGAAGGACACTTTAAAACTGGGTCATACGACACTTGCTCAGAAGGTGTTCGATCAAGGTTTCAACATTCAAGGCCTTAGTAAAGCTTTCAAAACGTTTTGTGGAGGGCATTACGTTACAAAAACTGATGTCCTATTTTGACTTGTACCATACGTTCCGAATTGGTTCTAGCGAACAACTGACTAGCCTAGTTTGTGTATAGTTTTGACGGGTGCCACCGCTGGAGCTCACTACTTTTACCCTTCACAAAACCTGGTAGCATCACTTTTTCGGTGTGATTCACAAACCCATGCTCTGCCATTATGTAAATCACTGGATTTTCTGGTAGAGATTCTACTGAACTGAACTGAATTTTATTCAGTCAGGCTGCAAACTGCAGCATAAGAGGTACATAAATAATATTTATAATTTATACAACATAAAAAGTATATACAAACGGTATGATAGGTGCAATGTACATCGAGCTAGTTACATATATTAAGTTATTGAAATTATTTCTTAAATAAAGTCATAATTATTTTACAAAAAATTGAAAGCTTTCTAAAAGTTTCTAGCTTCTTGGTGTTAAATAGAATATTCATTTTATACATATTTGGTCTAATATAATAATACCTCTGAATATATGTTTCTCTTTCTAATTTGGGACATATAAATAAATAATTAAATTCGTCACCAATATCATTTAGGTTACACATAGTACATTTTCTATCATTTACTGGGATTCGTCGCCATCTACCTGTCTCGATTGGAAGAAAATCATTGGAAGCTCGACATTTTAACAAGTTCTTGTAATACAGAAAATTTGGTATGGTTCCAAATTAAGAGATGGATTTTTGAAAATGCTATAAGTGGTTGCTTTGGAAGAGATTTTAATTGTTAACATCCATGTTTGCTGATAAATATCTATTAATTTTAAAACAGTTTTAAGCCAAAATATACTTTTAAAATTTTGGGATTTCCAGATTATACTCAGTCCAAGATTGTCGAAAATTCTCTCAAGATAGATTATCCATTTATGTTCACACTTGCCAAATATATAATCTTTGAAGATTAATTTATATATTAAGAAGCATAATTTTGATGATTTTCCGATTATAAATTTAGCCCCAAAACAAACCATTCTGCTTTTAATAACATTTACAAGTGGGAATCTACCAAACTCGCCATATAACATAAAGTTTGGTGTACTTTTCCTGAGTGATACCAAATATTTGAGAAAGCGTAGATGAACATTTTCAAAGCAAGAAGTATTTTCAAAACCCCAGACCTTACATCGATATAACAGAATCGGGGTGACCATACAATCAAACAATCAAATCAAATCAACTCAGACAAACCATATGTGCGGGCCACCGTCATACAGATGTACTGTTGCCGCGTGTGGCGTTAAACAAACACGCTCATCATGTAGTCAGATTTGTTATCGACTTACGGGTATGGAAATGGTTTTGTCGCTGTTACATGCATTGTTAAAATATTAATATGTATGCAACTGTAAGATATTATTTACCTAGTACAATGCAAGCCAGTGTCATCTTGTTGAGAACCTGAACATTTAGTTATATGCAAGACATCATTTGATACAAAAATGTTGGTATCCAAACACAAAACGGAATTTTGTTCATTGTGTCAAAATAGTATTGTTCCACTCTGTACATCACTATATCACGACATACATATGAGAAGACGTCTTGATCCGTGATCAGCATTACTTATGTCTATAGTTACAAGTCTATTGTCAGGGTTCGGGACAGTTTGTCAAAGGAAATGTCTTCTGATATTAGCATCATTTACAACATGCATGCATACAATGCTGGACTTCCTCGTTTCAAAAAAAGGAAATGAAAGGACTTAGGACAGGCATCCCTCTGGGTACAGATTTTCCTCCCCTTTTTCCTAGTCTGTTCCACACGAATTGTAAATTCTGCACATGCTGGCAAAATAGAGACCTTTTTATTTAGATATACTGACGATCTGACATCGCTCTGTATTAATTTCTCTCCATTGATTCTACTCTACTAGCGGAAAAATGGGCCATCAACACCCTTGCCATTATAGGAAACATGTGCGCCTCTGCTGCCATGTGTACCGTCTACACCTTCACAGCTGAACTCATGCCGACCACGTCAAGGACATTTGGCATGTCAATGAGTTCTATATGCTGCAGAGTTGGGAGTCTACTCTCTCCATACATTGTTGACCTGGTGAGTTGTACAACATCTTTGTGGCTGTACATGTCATATGTTTACTTTGACCCACGATAACCGAGAATAAAGTGAAGACACATTCAAACGTCAAAAGAATTGGGTACACTGGCTTACTGATACGATAATGAGCCATCATGCTCTACTTTAATATCGTTTTAAAGTAAACCAAAGTCAGTACTTCATACTTTGATCGCCGTCACCATATAAACTTGGATACTTTCAAATAATCCTGCACTTCAGACGATGTACATATCAGGACGGTTTGGTCAGATTCTCCCAATGCTGATATTCGGGGGTATCACAATCTTGGCGGCACTTCTGTCTCTGCTCCTCCCTGAAACGCTGAACAAGAAGCTACCGGAAACCATAAAAGAAGCGGAGATGCTCGGGACGTAAGTAATGACAACACCTGTCACTTCAGTGTAAATCTCAGGCCACTAATTCTCATGGGAAGTACAATGTAGTTGATGTTTGTTCCAGTTGCATATCAATACAAATCAGTGAGAGCCTGTGTAGGTCTCAATGCACTTTCTGCACAATGCCTGTCCAGTTTTCATTCGATGTGAAAAAGTTTCAGATTTGTTTTTGTTTTATCTTTAAGCAAATTTGATGATCATTTTAAATGAAATAGCTTGAAACCTTGAGTTGAGAGTCGAATGTAATCAGATTTATATTTCTATGTAGTATGACAGCGATATGAAATGAACCCCGTAGCACGAAAATGTCTTCTATACAGTAAATACAAGGTATTACATTTTGTATGGCAATTACTTATATCACACGTTATCTTTGGAAATACACTTTCTCAGTAAAGTACAGATTCTAGTACCTTTGTTGGGTTGAGTGTGGCATTCGAACCCACATCCTCAGATGGGACTCAACACAACAAAAGTAGTAGAATCTGTATTTTACTGAGAAAGTGTAATCCCAACATTTTACATTTGACCACTTTCTAAATTGTATTGTGTATCTACTTCCTGTATGCTGTTTTGATGCGGCGTTGGTATAAATCCATATACCGCGATCAAGCAAGGATGAAGTAAGCCTGCATAGTTTAACCGACTCGTATACATCTAATGAGGATAAACAATACAAACTAAGCGAGTGCATGAGAGGCATTAACAGCAACAAATGCAAAATGGTAGCTTGAACTGGCATCAAGGTATATACTGTCACTGAGGGGTCTTAACACTATATGAAAAGGAAAGGGTTGTAACGAGGTCAACACACCAAGTTCGTTTCAGGGCGAATTCAACAATGCTCACTGTATATATCCCCTTAAAGTTTGCACGCCGTTCAAGCCAACCGATTTACCTACAAACTGAGAACGTACAGCACAAAATTCGAGGCAGTACTTTGGGACCTAGGGTCTTCGGAAGCTCTAAAAATTGTGATTTCTCGATTCCGAGGCAAAAGACCTCTCAGAATTTGTACCGCGAACTTACAGATGTTCTTATTTATTTCATCGTATACACAAACGACATGCACTACCCTTTCGGAAACACTTGTACACCTAAGTGTCATCATAAGCTTACTTACAATTATTCATCGCAAACACGATTGTGTCCGTGCCCGTTGGCCTTGCCCCGCATTGAAAAGGGCTAGCGACCCGATTGGCCATGGATAAGATATGTCCCAACAGATCGCCACCTCTTTTCAGTGCTCTTCAGTAATCTCCATTGTTCCTGTGCACTGTGTTACTGTCTTATAGTTATCTAAATGTAATATTATATTGAACATGTATCCAACGAAAACATAATTCAGATTTCTGAAGCCCAGATTCGTTTGTTGTTTCAGGAACGAGTACGAGGAGAACACTGTAGATGCATCTCTTGCACCTGCTGAGCTGAGTCCTCTTCAGTCTCAGGCGAAAGAAAGTGTGGTTTAAGATTCTAACGATGTAATTTTGTCTGAAACAACACACATGGATTTGATATTAGAAACTCGATGAAGCCATGCAATAAATATACCGATAGCGAAAACCGAAGTACAAACAGAATATATATCGGCACGTTGGAGGTTTATCTTTTTTGAAGCGACATAGCGGAAGAATAAACGGTTCCCAGATCGTAAAAGCGGAAATTAACAGTGGCCTTGCACTTGGTGAACATAATAGTTTGTTTCGGATCATTCATTTACAAATATCTATTTACAAAGCAGGGATATGAAATACATCACTCATTGATATCACCTGATTTGACATGACAGCGGCAAATTGTGGCCAAGAACCTACAACATTTCAACTGAAACTCGAAGACATGTATACTGTTTATCAATGATTTGGTATCCCTGTTTGCACTCCCAATTTCTCTCGTCATATGAGCGAAATATTCTCAAGCACGACGTTAAACACAATTTCACCTCACCTCACCTCACCCAATTTCTCAGAATCCCGATGCTTCTTTGAAGGTATGAAGTGAATACATCCACAGCCGCAGAGAATACAACCACATTTGTATGAACGAAATCAGAATTTGCAGGTTCAACTTCAAAGCCATGGACACTAAATATAGATCTGTGAAATCCGAAAACTTTAATAATATTACTTTTTCAGATGTATATATCCATGGTGGCATGGCTCGACTACACCGGAATATATATGAGTTAGCGGTAATACAACATGCGTAAAGGTTCCAAGTAAACAGAGTTTGTACTTGGTGATGGTCTTCTTATGAAATAGTATTAACTATCAATAATATTGCATTCGAATAAACAACAGACTTTACACGAAACATATTAGTTAACAAGACGTGATTGGAATTGAAAATAAGATGTAGTTAACGAGGATGTTTACTATATGTTATCAACCAATAGAGTTAACTACGCACTGACTGTAACAAGGATTGTTCTGTCACAGTCTTCGGTGTGACAACCACAAAAGGCAGGAGCAGCATATCAGCATTCTATTGGGCAACTCCAGTAGAGATTCCATGGCATCGTTAAAAGGAACGTGGATGAAAGTCCAAACATGCAATGGTTTTATAAGAATCCAGGTGGTTAAACATGCATGAATAGTTAATAATGTAACTGATGGGTTTTAGGTCATGAGTTATTTAACGTGACACGAGGTTTGTCATGTGAGTTCAGCATCTTGACAGAAAGGGCATCTGAGTATCGAGTGGTTTTCTTGTACATATTAGTGTTTGTGTGAGTTTAGTTCTACACCGCACTCAGCAATATTCCAGCTGTATGGCAGCGGTCTGTAAATAATCGAGTCTGGACCAGACAATCCAGTGATCAACAGCATGAGCATCGATCTCGTAATTGGGAACCGATGACATGTGTCAACCAAGTCAGCGAGCCTGACCACCTGATCCCGTTAGTCACCTCTTACGACAAGCATGGGTTACTCAAGATCAATATTCTAACAAAAAGTGTTGGTCACCAGTCTCTTTTGTTGTTCTTAGTCTCCCACTGGCCTCTCATAATTATGTACCAGTTGTTATTCAATTACATATTGTTGTTAATGTTAATCTGCTGTTTGTCAAAACACACTATGTATATATACATCTGTGCAAAAACTAAGCATCATCCTGTATTTTTACCAATTAATTTTGTCTGAAATGAAATTCTAAACTCTCTCCCAAAAATAACCTTTATAATTTGATAGAGCAAGCATTTAACATTTCAAAAACGAAAACATCATTGAAATTACCATGTACTTTAGTTAGGATAATTACCTATGTTTAAAACCGGTGTTTTTCTGTCCTAAAACAAGTTACCTTATTTTGAAAAGTGACAGTAGTAACTGATTGTTGTGTGGCCTATAAATTCGTTATTTATTGTGAATGGATGAAAGTTTGTAAACTAAGATTGAGGAAAAGTTACAGTCAAACTAAAAAAAGGAAAATTTTAAAATGCAGTAAAAGTTGCTTTACAAACAAAACAAACAGATATTGTAGCTGTAATTATCAGTATCCGACAAGAAGAAGTGTTAATTCATTACTCAAAATTATAAAAAAAATTATACCAAAATCTTATTAATGTGCATTTTCTCAGTTTTTGTCAATTAGCAATCTGAATTGCTGGAAAAAGGTCTGAATCTTTGACATTCGGGTTTTTCCTGATTATGCATAATTAAAGCTTACTTGATGTGTAAATGTCATCTTGGTATATAACAGAATTGTTATTTTTAGTCAAAACTAATTTAATTGTGTAGTTTGAGCAGGAGAGGAATAGTTATTTTGGGTAAAAATTCAGTCCCATCACATTTTCATCAACATATTCTTTCATAAAGAATAGAAAAGGTTATGGTATTTGTAAAACTGTCAGTGGATAAAGCTTCTTTAACTACAGGTTGATAAAATTGATGGCTATACCCTAACTTTTCTGTAGCATCACATCTTATTTTCAAAATAGGGTGGTGCTTAATTAATTCACGGGTGTATATATACCCCTCATCATCTTGTTGCATTCACTTTTAGCTTGATAACGATGTGACAATCTACATCGAAACGTCGCTCTATGCAATAAATAAGAAGTTGTCATCCATGAAGTTGTGTTTTAGTATAGACTGTTGGTTTCTAAAAAAACAAACTAAGCGATTATTGGCCATACTCTCCATGGTTTTACACACACGGCTAGTTCAGGAAATAGGTCGATAATAAGATGGATCTGTATGCTTTGGAATAGGAACAACTATGGCGTTTCACTGTGTAGGAGGAAAATGTCCCGTTATCCAAATATGGTCAAAATGTTAAGTAAAGTTTCGAAACAAGATTCAGGCAAGTGATTTAAGAGTTGGTAATGGATATGGATATCATCAAGTCTTCACCATTATCAGATTTATAATTCACTCTTTACTTTACTTGTTGTTTTTCTTTTGAAATTTTGGATTGTGGTTTTGACGAATGTCAAAGTTTCACCTAACTTGTGTGCAATGTAAGATTTGTTCAGTTAATATGTCATTGTCATCTTTGAGATGCTGAATACTATTAGATTTCGAACCCTTGCCTTTGATGTTTTGGGTCATATTTCATACCCTTGACATAGGAGTACGGGACTTTATTTTGGAAATATAATTTGTAATTAATAATAGCGCACCTGTCATAAGATATGTCATAACAAGTGTAAGGGCGCAGCCAGCGTGTTGCGTATTTTTACAGTTCTATAACGGTGACATGTCTGTAACTGACTGCTTTTACATCAATAGCTGACAGCATGTGCAACGAAGCAGTACTCGAGAAACTAGAATGACTCATACAAAACTGGCTGCACTTTATTATAATTCGATTAAAATTTAGCAATAGCTCATGTGTGTAAACAAGTTAACGTTGTATGACAAAATTACTGTGTATGTTTAGAGGCATGAACGATGAAAGTGAACAGATGTTGGAATTACGCTTTTGTTACAGCAAATACACGTATCAGCTGATCGAATGAGATAACAGTTTGCTAACATGTGCTTTACACGCTCATTCTCCATAAACCGGGACCATTGGGGTCTACAACTGTGAAACCAAAAGTAAAAGCGCTATGCGGTCATTGTTATTGCTAGTACCGTATCTGAACTAATTTTCTGCAAACATTCACACTCAGGCACGACCAGATTTCTCAATATGTGTCCACAAATATATGACCACCAATTCCGTGTTGTATTTTACGTTACAGTATTCCTATATGCTTACGATCGTTTTATTCCAATTGAAGTGCGTGATACGCTCAGGAGCTCGTAATTGTACACAGGTCCATCGAACTATGGAAGCGAATTCATTTGCTTAAAATTTAATATATAAATACATAGAGTAATTAACATTGTGAACTGCTTATTTAGCTGTGTAATGATATCAGCAAAAGATTTAACCAACTACACTAGTCCGTTTGAGTCAGAAACGGACCGATGAATTGCAAATTTTATCATTGTACAAAATTGCCACACAAATATAAATAGTACACATGTTTATCATTTAATAATACCCAACAGCATTCTTATATTTGAAAATTTTCTGTACTCCACCAAAAAAGTTCTTTAAGAAACTATCATCATTGAAAACGCAAAAGTTGTTATCTGTCGCGGCGGGGTGAAACCGCAGAAACGGAACAGCCAGTCATAGCAGGGGACATCTCAAAATCTATTCCGGGAGACCTGTCGGTTCCTCGTCTGTCGTAGTGTCATAGTTACGACTAAGAGGGATGACAAGTGGTGCCACAGTTGCCTGTTGTAAGCCATCCCGAGACCAGTAACCTTGTTCAGTGACGTTAGCTACCTTGTTGACACACTTTTGCCAAGTTTCAGTCGTGATTTTGTTAAGGGATTCCTTAACCAAAACCTCTACGTCACGTAATCTAAAAGTTGTGTTTGATCTGGCAACATCTCCTGTGACAATTCCCCATATCATTTCAGTGGGGTTAAGGTCACAGTGATAGGGTGGAAGTCGCAGAATATCGTGACCCTTACTTTTTATGTAACTGTCAACTTTGTAGAAAGGTTCACCTTTATGGGTTTTTATGATCTCATATAGCTGAGGCTTCGCTGCCTTTGAAGGCCGTGCGATCTGAAATTTGTCGAGCCATGATATCATATCACCTTTTCGACTGTCCGATGTCGGGGCTTTACTGTCGGGGTCCTGCACGTTGTGGTATGGGGTATTGTCCATTACGATAAAAGAATTCTCTGGTAGAGCTGGTATCAACTTGTTTTTAACCCAATCGAGGAAAACCGCACCATTCATCTCGGAATGGTAGTCTCTGTTATCTGTGGACTTTGCCCTGAATACCAAGTCGCAGCCAGGGAGAAAGCCTTTGCTGGAGCAACCATCATGGAGAATGATTAGTCTCTCTCCTTTCCCTAGAGGCAGCTTTCTACGTGACCCCTTATCATCCCCATCGGGTACCCACTGACTGCTGGCAGTGTGCGAGGCATTGACCCAGGTCTCGTCCAAGTACACTGGCTCGAACCCTTCCTCGCGCTTCTTCTTTATAACCCTGAGAAAATTATTTCTCAAGCGAACGATATCAGGGCGTTCACGGAGTACTGACCTATTCGCCCCCGGAATTTTATTATAACGATACCCGAAAGAGTGTAAGAGTCGCCAGAGTGTGTACTTTGATACTCTGAGGTTGTGTTCTTGCTTCAAATGCTTTTTTAAAATTTTCAGCGACA